ATGTGTAAACTTCTTTTTTTTTTTTTTTTTTTTTTTTTTTTTTTTTTTTTTTTTTTTCTTGCTAAAACAGTGAAAAAACGAAGAAATGGAAAGTGGATGAATTTAGTTGAAATATGCATGAATTTCTCTCAATGACCTATTTCTTGTAAATTACGTACGTATGGAACAATATTCAGGCTTAAACGTGATGATTTTATTATATCGATTGATCTGATGATGTGCAAAATTTTTTTTGTCTTTTTTTTTCTTCTTTGTGGTTTTTTTTTTGTTTTTGTTTTTTGTTTCTTGATAAAATAGTAAAATCGAAAAAAAAAACGGAGAAATGGAGAGTAGATGAATTTAGTAGAAATATGAATGAATTTCTCTTAATGATCTATTTCTTATAAATTACATACGTATGGAATGATATTCAGGCTTAGACGAGAAAAATTTTTAATCGATTGATCTGATGGTGTGCAAAATTTTTTGTTTGGTTCTTTTTTTATTTTTTTTTTTTTTTCTTACTAAAACAGTGAAATTGAAAAAAAACGGAGAAATGGAAAGTGGATGAATTTACTAGAAATATGAATGAATTTCTCTTAATGATCTATTACTTGTAAATTACATACGTATGGAATGATATTCAGGCTTAGACGAGAAAAATTTTTAATCGATTGATCTGATGTGCAAAAAAATTTTTTTTTTTTTCTTTTTTTTTCTTGGTAAAACAGTGAAATTGAAAAAAATGGAGAAATGGAAAGTGGATGAATTTAGTAGAAATATGAATGAATTTCTCTTAATGACCTATTTCTTGTAAATTACAATCGGGAAGCTGAGAGATATTTTTAAATCGGCATTTATATGTAACGAACATATAAATGTATATATTATTCATTTTGAAGTTAAATCAGCGGATACATAAGATCTTTTTTTATTTACCTATATATTTTTTAGTTTATTTACTTATTTATTTATTTATTTATTTATTTATTTTTTTTTTTTTTTTTTTATATTGAAATTAAAAACGAACGAAACTAAAGTAATACAGGTGACGTTTAATTATTTATCTTATTATTTTTATTCTTTTTTTTTTTGTTTATTTATTTATTTATTTATTTATTTATTTGTTTATTTATTCAATTGAGATCAGACAAAACAAAGGTTATTATTTATTAAATAAAAGTTTCAATGATATTAAGAAAATATATTATCAATCAACCGCGAGATATTTTTTTGTGGACATTTATGAACACCCAGTATATTTTATTTAATTAATCGATTTTTGTCTTCTTTTATTTTTTATATTTTTATTGAGATTAAACAGAGAACAAAAAGAAAACTAACGCCAATATTACATTTACACGTGTAATACAAGTGACGTTTAATTAATTATTCAATTAAAATCAGACAAAACAAATGTTATCATTTATTGAATAAAAATTTCAATGATTTTAAGAAAATATATTATTCATGTAAACTTCAATCAACCGCGAGATATCTTTTATAAACATTTATGAACGAACAAAACGTATGTATTATTTATTTAAAAGTTAAATCAGCACGGCATACAGATGATCTTTTTTATTTATCCATACATTTATTTATTTTATTTAGTTAATCGATTGTTTTTTTTTTTCTTTCATTATTATTATTATATTTTTTTTTCTTTTTATATATATATATATATATATATATATATATATATATATATTTTGAGAATCAGACAAAACCAGGATGCACGTTAATACAATAAAATCCCATTAATACTTATAGATATGTTAGTAAATACATAAAAGAATATTTAATATGGCTTGTTCATTGTTGATACATGTGTGTAAATGCGAAACGAAAATGTCCGAGTAGATAATCATTTGAAATCTATGCTCATCGTATTAAATGATATCACTGTCGCGCAAAGTAAACGTACATATATATACATATATACATATATATATATATATACATATATATATATATATATATATATAAATGTATGCATGTTTATATACGTAAGTATGTATGCATCGCATTCGTAAACCGCACATTCATATTCCCATAATTTTTCCAGCACTCCAAAATTTTACGTACTCGTAAAATTCGAAAAGCTCGTTGCTTACGCGTAATGCCAACTAAATAGTTCATACATACATGTATAGATATACACACACACACACACACACACACACACACACATATATATATATATTTATATATATATACACGTGTACGTACTTTTAGTACGTTATGTATAGGGTGGACCAAAATCTTTTTAGTTGATTTAAAATTTTTTTAAATCCATTACTCCTACTAATGACATTTTTATGCTAATAACTTTTCATTTTTATATTTAATCTTCCTGTTTTTTTTTTTTTTATATTTTTTTTTTCTTTTTTTTTTTTTTATTTTTGTTTCTTCGTAGATCATTACAAATAGGCTTGTAGTGTTTTCTTTTTATTCATTTATTTATTTATTTATTTTTTTTTTTTTTTTTTTTTTTTTTTTTTCTTATAAAACAAGCAGGTTTTTAAGATCTAATGTGAAAAAAAAAAAAAAGGAATTAGTTTGAAAAGACTCGAAAACAGGTAAGCAATCAATTCTGAAAGATCATTTAGGAACTTTTTTGAGCCATCCTTTATATACAAAGTGAGACAACAATTGTTATCATTTCGAATATGATAAAAATGAAAGAGTGCATATAAATGATATGACCGTGAATGTGTAGTTCATTTTTAAAATCATTTGTCTTTTTCTCTTTAAAATTTTTTTTTAACTTTAATTCAAGAGGGAAGAAGAAAGATATGGGATGTTAAAATTGCGTTAATTATTGCCAGACATATTTTTTTTCTTTCTTTTTTTTTTTAAATACCTCGCGAAACCAATTTTACTATATTACTATACATTAATACTCTTTTTATTCAAAATGAGGATTCATTACATACAAAAAAAAAAAAAAACAAAGAAAAAAAGAAGAATGAAGAATTCTTATCATCGTTGAATAGATGTAACCAACGAAATAGATATAAAATCGAAAATAACGAAAATATTATTGAGATGTTAATAATTGTTATTAACTCACCCTGTATATTCGTAAATGTATAAGTGTACGTACGTATGTATGTATGTATGCATAAACGTACGTAGGTATATCTCGAAACGAACGGAAATGGAAATAAACAAAAAAAAAAGTAGAGAAATATAAAAAAAAGAAAGAAAGAAAGAAAAAAAAAGAAGAAGAAAAAATAAAAATAAAAACTGTAGAGAAAGCAACAGCAAAATTTAATATAGTTAAAACTCGCGGCATACTGCCTTGGTTATTGCGAACAAGTAACACATTTATTACATATACCTGTATGTACTTTAACGTAGCTGATAACTTTGCATACGAGATACATAGTAATATGATTTAGAGAATTTTGTTTTTTAACTTTTTTTTTCTATCTCTCTGTTTTTATTCTTTTATCTTCCTTTTATATATTATATATATATATATATATATATATATATATATATATATATATGTATTATATATATATATATACATATATACATATATATATTATATATGTTTATATATAATAATATTATATATAATATTATTATAATATATTATAGGTATATATAGTACAAAATATCAGTATATACTTATATTTTATGTATTAACAAATATTTAGCATTCATAAATATTTTATAGATATAGATATAAAAATATAAATTAGTATGATATATGTATTATAATTTATTATAATAATTTTTACTACTTCTATAGTACTAATTTATATTAATATAATATAATTATATTTTTATCTTTCTTTTATATATTATATATATATATATATGTATGTATACATATATAATATTATTATAATATATCATAGATATATATAGTATAAAATATCAGTATATACTTATATTTTATGTATTAACAAATATTTAGCATTCATAAATATTTTATAGATATAGATATAAAAATATAAATTAATATGACATATGTATTATAATTTATTATAATAATTTTTAATACTTTTATAATACTAATTTATATTAATATAATATAATTATATCTGTATAATAGAATATAATTATAGTCATTATAGATCCATATTATTATATATTTAGCATCTATATATATATATATATATATATATATATATATATATATATATTAATATAATTTTTTATTATACTAATTTATAGTTATTATAATACTATACAAATTACTAATATAATAAATTATAATAAAATAAATATGATACTAATTAATATGATACAAGTGATATATTTTTTATGATACAAATTATACTGATACATATTATATGTACCAATATACATAATTATTATATCGTATATCAGAATTCAAATATTCTGCTAAGAATTATACCATAAAATCGACTTTATATAGTTTTTTCTCGAACGCACATAAAAAAAACAAAGAACAACAACAAAAAGAAGAGAGAAAGAGAGAAAGAGAGAGAGACAGAGAGAGAGAGAGAGAGAGAGAGAGAGAGATTGGATCACTGCAATGTTAAAAAGAATATTAAAAAAAAAAAAAAAGTAAAAGTCAATAATATCGAAGAGGAGTTGGAAAATAAAATATACGATAGCGACCGCTGCAATGAATATTCCCAAATCAAGCGATAAACCGCAAACATTATTCCACTTCCTTCTTCTAACCAAGCAACGTAATTGCTGCGATCAATTAACACGCGATTAACAACATTCCGGTGTCGAGCGAAATGGCGGGCTCGTTAACTGCACGCAAGCTACATGTATGTGCACCTTACAAATATGGTATTTTCTGTTTCTGGTAATTTTTTTTCCCTTCTTTTTCTTCTTCTTCTTCTTCTTCTTCTTCTTCTTCTTCTTCTTCTTCTTCTTCTTCTTCTTCTTCTTCTTCTTCTTCTTCTTCTTCTTCTTCTTCTTCTTCTTCTTTTTCTTTTTTTTCTTCTTCTTCTTCTTCTTCTTTTTCTTTTTCTTCTTCTTCTTTTTCTTCTTTGATTTACGTTCGATTAAAACAACTACAG